ATCTCTCAAGTTCAAATGTTATCTCCCCGACGAAACATCATGGTGCTGACATAAATGATGCCGCCACGAACTCAAAGTTAGATAATCCAGCTCCATCCACTGATGTCCCACAACTGTCTCTCCACCCAAGCAATACTAAGCCTATGAACCCACATAAAACATTTCCATCTCAGAAACCAATATTTTGTCTTTTGCGCAACCAATGGTGAAATCAGGAGATCAACCGAAAGTGTCTTCGCGTCAAGCTTTTTCCAAGTCTAGAAGGACTGATATTCCGGTTGCAAGTACATAAGGAAGTCCTTGGTGCAGTGTGTGCACGAACTTTAACAAGCCGAAGTCACTTGTTAAACACAAACCTCCACCGCCAATAATTGACCGCATCTCTCACAACTCTGACCAAATTCCCCCCCTCAGCTACAGCCCGCCAGAAGCGTCACTTCTTTGCGTAGTAAACCACCTTATCTCAAAGATAATAGGCAGTCTAGAGCCAAGAATCTCCAGGTAAGGCCATTGCACTTGACATCCTTTCAACAGCGCAACACTGGTGATTCGATCAATGCACAACCTCCGCCTGAACCTACCTTTAGTGATCATTAAGATGATCTCAGAGTGTTTGCTAACGCAGTATCAACGCTACTAAAAAAGCAGAATCAAAATCCTTTTCAGGGAAAACCCACTATTAGATCGGTGAGCCCGTCCACCGTCAATTGTCTAGTCTTAATCCCCTTATAGCAGGTAGAAGTAGCCACTATACCCAATCCATCAAGGAATATAACCACCATGACTAGGCAGTACATATTCTTAAACCCATTTAAAGCCTACAAATGCATCAACAGCGTGTTTAGTGACTTTAAGAGTTGATAGCACCTTTAGCGACCTAGATAATCCAGTTGGTCTCTACTCGCGTAATTACAAAAGGCCGCTGGGAACCGAATGGTATTGCTCTCCCTCTGCACCCATCAGGCTAAAATCGACACCATACATTGATAGTAAAATTCAAGGCATCTTGATCTGTGATCGTAGTGGATATCTACTAGAAAAGTGCCACATGACCACGAATAACCTGAGTAACTCAATCTCTCTTTCTCATTCATCTGATATGCATTTCTTCACTAGTCACGATGTCTAACATTTCTGCTTATGCTGATGCTCTGCATGTGCAGGAAGCCATCGGGAAGCAACGCCAAGTTCTATCTTCTGGCAATAAAGAATCCCTAACCAAGGTTCTCAAGTCTAGACTGAAGTCATCTAAGTCCAAAACGACTAAATGCATTATTAGTAACGGTTGGATACATGATGACCCCAAACAAATTGTGGAGATTTTCAGCAACCACTTTGCTGCGTCGGTAATAAATGAGAGTAATGCATCTGGGTCACAGTGATCAGCAGCACCTTCCTCTAGGATCGAAAACGTGAGGTTTACGGTACAAAATATTTCTGCGGCGATAAACACTCTAAAACTTTGTTTTACTGATAGTCCAAATGGGATATCTGCTGTTGTCATTGGAAACGGAGGTGAGAACATACCTCTGTTGCTTCTGGAGTTATTTTCCATGTTACTCAATAGTTCATGCAACCCCTCGATCTGGAAAACTACCTGTGATTCCCACTCATAAATTCGGACCAACTGCACATTTAGATAACTACCGTCTGGTTTATCTCACGTCGGTGGTCTCCAGAGTGATAGAGAAAATTATAAATATTAGCGTTATGGATCGTCCGTTCGATAATAACTTATTATCAACTTCATAGCATGGGCTGTCAAAAACCAGATCCCGTGAAAACCGCATGCTACATTATTTTGAATGCATCACACAAACGCGTGACCAAGGCCTTTTCGTTGCCGTACCGTTTTTTGACTTCAAGAAGGGATTTGATAAAGCGTCCCACCAGAGGCTGTTCATGAAGCTCAGGTAATTTGGTGTGGAAAACCCCTCACGTAACTGGTTTCAATAATTTCCTCATGAACGCTCCCTGGTAGTTAAATTAAACGATTGCCTTTCTGACTCTTGACCAGTTACAAGTGGTGTGGCACAAGGAAGTTTTCTTGGTCCACTTCTCTTTTTCGTGTATATTAGCGACACATATCAAGACATGGAAAAGCATATCTTTACGCTGACGACCTTAGGATTGTTTATAGCTTCCAGTATGTTTCGATTACTGAAGGTCTGTCAGCAGCTGAGGCAGATTTAAATGATCTACTTGAGTGGAGTCAGGAGTGGCAAATCGGATTCAACCATGAAAAATGTGGAATTCTGTACTTCGGAAAGTATTGTCCTGGCAGCACGCTATCTTTAGGAGATCATGAAATGCAAATACTCAATAAGGTATGCAACCTAGGTGTCCAATATTCCGGTAACCTTAACTTCAACGGCGTGTCACAGCTATCGTCTCCAAAGCCAGATTATCAGGTTTCCTTCTGGAGAGCCTTTATACAAAAGAGGCAAACTTTTCCTTTTTAAGTTTTGTATCAGACCGACATTGGAATATGGCTCATCCTCGTTTTCTAGCTTGAGCAGAACTAACAAATCACGACTTGAACGCGTCCAAAGGAGTTTCACCAGACGTTTATTGGGTTGTGCTGATAATGTAGACTACATAGATGGGTGCACTTAGCTGTCCATTGAACAGCTATGAAAACAGCGTCTAAGAAACAACTTAGTTCGCTTGTATAAAACCTCGCACGGTCTGTCTTACAGTTCCTTCCCACCCGCCTGGAGACACGTACTGCCATATGACCCTAGAAACCATACACTGACATTGGCAATGGAGAGGTGCAATAAACGGGCCAGATGTAAATTCTTTACTACATATTACAGCTTGATCTGGAATAAGCTCCCAGTAGCCGTAAGCGGCAGCACCTCTGTGTCTCAGTTTAATCGCCTTATCTACTTGGGTTTGGGTTCAAGTGATATCCACAGTCTGTTGATAGATGCCTCCAACAGAAATGCTCAGAGATGGCTCTGCAGGGCCCCAGTGTCTTCAAGTAAGTGAAACTGACAGTAACTTGTGAATAAATATGGGTGGGATCTCTTTTCAAGTTTTACTCAATGAATTAAATTGCCCTCAATTTAAGATAGTGAGAAGTTTGTGTATCGTGAAGTTTCCCCTCCGTTGTATGACTCGTATCATCTTAGCAGGGTAGCCCACATGGAAAAACAGGATATTCGTCTGACTGAAAACGATGTCCAAATCCACTAAGTCGCAGTACTGAAAAGTCTGTCCTCAGAATTCCTCACAAGCGTCTATACATCGTATTGTCTCATTTTCTACACACCGAGACTCCCATTAATTCACTTCTTCACGCCAAAACTTACTTCGTATTCGGAGGCTTCTGCATGCGCCCGCACGCACGACGACTACTTATTCCTTGTCGCTTAGTTTCTCAGACATGTTGGCTTATATGCTCCGCCGTTCAGACAAACAGTTTCAGTCCTATACTTTTTGTTTATCGTGCATTAAAAGTCACTGACTACTATTTCACCATAGTTTATTACTAAAAAAACAGATAATTCTTGCAAGACAACTCTTAAATCTAAGTCTGATTTCTCTTTCTTTGAATATTCTGTTCATATCCTGTTACTCACTGACTCAAGTACAGGATAAACCGCCTCATACTCATGTTTTTTTTTCTCGTAGACAGACTCATGATGAGACCACTGCATAATGGTTGATTTGCGAGTTCGCCTCAAAATATGGCTCCAGTTGTGATTGTACCTAGAAGCGTTGGCATTAAATGCTGCCTGCATCCAAACATGCAGGCTCTCCTACTAACAGCGCCCACTCACCTCATGGTGAAGAGAACTGAAACTGACCTCACGTAAAGTGCCAACCTTGAGGACATATTGAATGGAATGATGATAAGACCTCATGCTGTGTGGGCTGCAAAATGCGAACAGTTTCTGGACTGAGTAACAACTTTAGCCTCATTTATTCCTGCAAACTTGTTTTCAGTGACACAGAACCAAACAACCGCTACATGGTGCACGAAGCTGTGTGACACCGGTTCTAAGCTTTGTCATCGACCCACACCATGATTTAAATCTAGTTTTAAACGCTGTCTGTAAACAGCAAAACTTATTGATTATCCGCATTTTTTCAGCCTCACTTGTGCTCGGCATTTGTTATTCCGTGTTCTTTTATTGATTATGCGGCTCATTAACCCAAGTGTTGGGATCTAATCACACTGGCCTGGTTAAAGCTCGTACTGAGTGATAGCGCGTAAGTTACTATTCACTGTCTTTGTGTAGCAAAAGGGTCATTACCCAACCCTTTTTACCAGTGACATGCGAACAATTGCATCATGGCAGACTATGTATGGTACAGCGATGTGCTCTTTCTAAATTTTCTGAGCCTCAGCGGCGACAACAGCATCCAGATATTGCCCGTGAAAACGGCATGTGTCCGTATAATTCATTATTCGAAATATATCGTCATTATTATTAAGCTCACAGACCTTCGTGGATGTTCATCTGCTGCTTTCTCTGGAGTGGATCTAGATTTTGAAACTGAACATGTTGGCCTGTGAGATGGAAGTTGCTGAAACATCATCTTTATAATAACCAGTGAAGACCTCCTTGGGGTTTGATTCAGAAGGATTTTAAGTGTAAGCGCTGTTTGCAATAGTTTGAAGGCCTGCAACAGAATTTTCGGTAGTGCTGTGATGGTTGACAACTGGTTACTGACAAAATGTCATCAATAGTGACAGCCGGGAGACACTTGATCTCGATACTCACAAGTACTGGGGATTTTCTGACCGGTGGTGCTAAATTTGAGAGATTTTTCAAGCAGGAAATGGCCAAATAAGATCCGCTACTTCAGATATCCACCAGTAAGTATGAACAGCCTTTCAGGGGCGAGAATGTGGATAAAAGCCGGCAAGACTGAGGCGGATCGTTTGAAAAGTTTGTTGGACTTATATTCTGTCGTTCGGTTATATCGCTACGCAGGGATTTAGCGGCTGCTCGGAAAGTTGTACACAAACGAATGAATAAGGTATTATGTCACTGGTCCAGTAAGTGGAGCTACAGCAGTTGATTAAGGCTGCCAGATTTATCACAAAATTCTTCAGCCGTGAGACGATGATCTTGTCGGGGTAACAGCTAGGCTTGCTGATAGCTGACTGTTTCCGCGTGGTTGTGAAGTGCATTTTCTTTTGGTTACACTGGAGATGAGGGGGGCTCGAAGCTTGAGTAGTAGGTTTTTTCGGTTAGACGGAAGCCAAGCTAAAACTTCAGCGGGTAAGAGGAGCCCCGTTTGATACCGACAGCAAATTGACTTATACGCATCGATACATGGGGGAGAGAAAATCTGCCAACCATGGAGTTTGCGTTACGAAAGGCACGAAGGAAAAGACCCTCTCTGGACAGCAGATCGCTAAAACCAATAGCACCACTCTCGACACATAACACCTGACCGAAAGTGATAGCCGCCCGAGCAACCCTCAGCACTACTGAATACACCGGAGTCGTATGGAATAAGAGTAGCCCCTGCTATGGCCCTCGAAAAGCCGTCAAAGTCCCGCGGGGGGGGGGAAGTCACTGTGGTGAGTCAGCATTCGGCTGTGTGTTGAAACAATTCTCAGGTGACTTATGCAGTCTGCTCTGTCATCAGTTTCAACACTCCTCGGACAAACACGTGTTTCCACGGGGGTTGGAATGTGTCAATCTGCCTTCCACCTTCAAAGGAGGAGAGACGCAGAACTCACTATGCTCCAACGTACGGCACTTCTACCAGTGCTGTTGAAATTATTGGAGAGCTTGGCAAACGACCACGCCAGAGAGTACTTGGACAAGAGAGGAGCACAAATTGATGCTCAAGATGGTTTCAGAAAGACTACGTCCTGAAACCCAAACCTTCTGGCAGCCGGTGATAACTAAACAGCATGCTGGACCTGAGAGGTTTCGTTCATGGTATTTTTCTGGACTTTGCTAAAGCCTAAGACGCAGTTAAACACATCATTCCCACTCGCGAAAAATCAAGGTTGAGCAACATTGGTCAAGTGCCGTTTGTCCCCAAACATGCAGGCTCTCCGACTAATAGTACCCACTCACCTTGTAGAGAAGTGAACTGAAACTGGCCTCATATGAAGCGCCAACCTTGAAGGCATATTGAATGGAATAATGGTGAGACCCTATGCCGTGTGGGCTGCAAAAGGAGAAGAGTTTATGGGCAGAGTCATAACCATAGCTTAATTTATCTCTGTGAATTCTTTTCCATGGCACTGAACCAAACAATCACTACATGCTGTGTGATACCGAGTGACACTGGTTCCAAGCTGTCATCGGCCCATACTATGATTTGAATCTGGTTTTACTTGCTCTCTATGGATAGCAATAACTTATTGATTATTCGCACCTTTTTAAGCCCTGCTGTTGTTAGGCGTTTGATATCCCGTGTACTTTTACTGATTATGCGACTCATTAATTGAAGTGCAGAGGCCTAATCACAGGTGCCCGCTTAAAGCTCATACTGGGTGATAAAGCCTGTGTTATTATTCACTGCTTTTATGTAGCTAAAGGGTTAGCATCTAATATTTTTGGCCAGCAACAGCTGAATATCTGCATCCTGGCAGACTATGGTTTACCAATTTATCCTTTATTACTTTTCTCGGACCCACAAACAACAATAGCCTTCAGGTGTGGCCTGTACAAACGGCATGTGTTCGTATAATTCATTATTCGAAATTTATTATTGTTATTATTCAAACAGTAACCGAATAATTCATAGTTTTGAACTGGGCCTGCTTTAGCACACCGCTCATGGTCATGAACAACGGTATCTAATGCTTACCTTAAGATCGTAAATAATAGACATTTCTCATTACCGAAGTGATCAAACCTGTAAACTGGTCTGTATTCATGTAACTTATGTTGCGTGAAATATATATTATTTTTATTGTCTGAACAGTAGAATGTTATTGAACCGCCAATGTGGCCATCCTCGAGGTAATCCGGAGAGATCCACCCGCAAAGAGCAAAAAATCGTGCGCCTTCACACTTTTTCTTCGTACGAGTTTGAGACCGGTGAAAAGCATTGCTTACCGAGTTCGCCACTGCTCTGTCTATCGACAGCTTCAGGGAACGGTTGTATAACTACACAGCAACGCACGGTTTTCCTTCATCCAGCTGGGATGCCAACTAGGTAGATACAAACTACTAGCTCCGCACAGCCCAACAGAGTCAACCCTATACAGGCTCCAATATCATTGCGGACTTCGTTCAAAATTATAATTCCCTGAGGACGTCTCCCCCATTCACCACCCCCTACCAACATTCTACTATCTTCACTCTCATTGCCCGCCTTTAATTATACTTGCTCTTTCTCTCCCTTTTGGCCCTAAAATCTCACACTACTTAATGATCTCCTCTCCACCACTCAACTCACATGAATCTATCCAGAAATTTCCTTCCCTTCCCCAAAGTTCCACTTACTTTGCTATTTCCTTTTCTTCTTCGCACTTCCTCTCCCTTGATTTCTTTGAGCATCTTTTCGATGTTACTTTTACAGTTCGCCCAGCCAACTGTTTGGTGACATGACACTTGATGAACCTATCTTCAGCACAGTCCTTGGAAAAACCATACGGTCCCTACCAGTTCAATCGATACCTGACGGCCCACTGAGCTAACTACGGCTACAGCAGGCGAGTGGATAGACCCACTGCATCACATGGAACCGTTCCACAAGACCTGAAAACGAGCGTGAAGAAATCAAGTAGTTCACATTAACTGGTAAAAAGACGCTGGATATTCGAATTCTCGTTGTTATCAGTTACACCAGACAAATCAACTAGTCGATAAAACAGTGTTTCGTATTCGTTTGGAGGTCGCGTACTGCATGAGTGATTCTCTGAGCCTCCATTTCAGCGGCTGAACCGGTCATTAGGTTCAACAGTTTCGTGTGGAAATGCGAGTTTACATGCAGAAAAGGTCCAGTCATCTATTTAGTTGCTGCTAGAGTGCAGACTACATGAAAGTATGTGCAAACCACCTAAATCAAAAGTGATATTTCCTTTTCATTATTTTTGGCACATTCTATGCTTTCTTCCCAACACTTGCAAAAGCGAATGTTGTCTACCTGTACCGCTCTAGAGAAGGTAGGGAGAAGGGCAACAAAGTCGGCTGTCGGGCTAACAGGCAAAGCATATGCGCAACGCCTCAGACAACTCTACTTGTTCACGCTAAGCTACAGAAGTAAATGAGATGACCTGATAACACTCTACTAGATCATTCACCGAGTGGACCACTTAAATGGGACGTTATCGGCCACAAACCGACAGTCCGGTGGGAACCCCGCCCTTATAACCCACCACAGGACAAAGACGAGGGTGAGATCTAACTTCTCCCATAGAGTATGTGCCTTATGGAACGCTCTGTCGAGGAAGTGGCCACAGCTGCATCAGTCGACTCCTTCAAACGACGACCGAATGAGTATGTGAGCGCAAACGGCTTACAACGAACAGTTTTCAGTAGCAGCTGATGCTACGCCCTTCCATACTTGTAATCCCTAACCCTAGCATCTGCGATGAGACGCATCTCCCCTCCACATTATTGTCAGCGACACTTATCTTTTCATAAGTACTTTTCACTCCTCTTTTTCTCATTGCCTACTTACCCTGTTTCTAGCGCCTTTTAAGTAACGCTTGAATAGTGACGTATTCTCGCTCGTCTTTCAGCCTTTGGATTTTTCCACATTGAAAACTTCTATTTGTAATACTCAGTCTAAAAAGTCGAAAGTTTGCAGCACTCCTGTTCCTGCACGCACTTCATCGCTGCGTACTCGTCAACTCAGCAGTTGGAAATTGGCATCATTATTTCTCCGAACTGACTAGTCTGCTCCCTGCCAGTGGTTCCTGAGTGTTTCAACTGCCAAACTACCTTAGGTCTTGGTTCTCTTTGGAGGTCATTCCCCAGGAAACATATTTCCTGGTTTTACACACACCTCTTGGGCTTATGGTTAAACTCGTTGGTCAAGAGCAGGGGGGCAAGTGTCTGAAGGTAAGCCAACATAAATTATCCTCCTTTATACATTCTATACTTTTACTACATTCAGTCTTCAACCTCCTTATTGGTGTTAAATATTTGATTCTCCAAGAAGTTTATATAATGGTAACATGTCTGTACAAAACGCTAGATCCGAAGCTGTAACGAGGATAACGTGGTCGTGCACGAGAATGACAATAACACCCGAAACAACACACTAGTCTGTACTCGTAGACAAACAGAGGTACGGTAGAACATCGAACTTCTATAGAAGTGGCCAACTTATGTTTCCAGAGTTCCATTCGCCATCAGATAGGTGACACAGGATATCACCAGCACGTCGCAAACTGGTCCTGCCCCAGGCAAGGATCAGACCATGCTCGAGGACAGGAGGCGGCTTATGGGGCCCAGGGATAAGGCAGCCACCAGCAGCTCGCCATAATCCGTAGCACTTTCTTCATAGAAAGAAGTCTGCATTACGAGACCCGATGGCCGCAGTGTTTGCACTAAGGTTGTTCCGGTGGTCGATTAGGCATCTGAATGCAACCTATGTCACTGATGCGCGCGTTGCCACTGCGACACCAAAGCTGATGAAGAGACAACCATGCAAGTGGTTCTGGTACATCTGCCCAGAGTACAGGAATCTGCCCGCAGTCCACACGGAAAACCGGAAAGAGAAGCTCTGAGCCATACAAAAGATACCAACATCCTCGAGTAAAGTAAGGTTAACATAAAGGGTGACACAGAGGGACCTGGAAACAGAACTGGATCCCCAGCTGCGTGCACGCCACCACGCGCTAGGAACACATTGGGTAGAGCCTCCGTACCTCCTACCCGGCCCCACAGAGCGTCAAGCGCATGGCTAAAGACACCGACCGCTAGAATCACTGCGAAACCCACCATAAACATCCCACACACTGTGACTGAGAAACAGCCAATAGAAATATACGACAAACTGAGAAGTCCGGTGTGCCACCCAAAACAACCCCAAGCCACAGGAAGGCTAACTCTTTCATCTTGTTCAACGTCGATGTATCAAAAGACTTATTGTTGGTCAAGAGAGAACGGTTTGTCAGCCGGATGTAGGCCGACTAATGTCAGATGCTGAGACTCACTCCTCCTCCTGTAACACCGTGTCGAATTTCCCGTGGAAGCCGAGCAACTTAAGATAAGCCACCCCTTAGAGTGTTCCTTGAACACTGCCAAAGAGGCCAAAGACACCCTCCTTCAATCGCGCCAACCGGACGTTGTTAATAACTGCAAAAATTCAAGACAGGCCGCAAAAGTCATGATCGATAAGAGAGGAGGAAGGAAATCCAGACAGAAACAACACTACGGTTGTACATGGGATTCCAGAACTGCCAAGTGACAGCTCGCCTAATGATCGGAAATTCCTCTACGTCTAACAATGGTAAAGGGCCTCAATTAAAAATGGTCTCCACAGCACAAAGGTCAACAGCGAACCCAGACGGCAAAAGCCGGCGAATCTCAAATCGGTAACAACACTCAGACTGCTCGACATCCAAAAGCACAACCACACACCATGCAGGGAAGTTCGACAAGCGTATTAAAATGAGCGAGATGGCATGAGAGGCTCAATACGCATATTAAAGCGTGGGCCCAGAACAACGGGGCAGGTAGCAGCAGCCAAGACCTCTGGAGTCAGTGGTCGTCACACAAGCACCGACCAGTGAGTCAGATGCATCGAGTAAAGAAGATCCCGCTGCCACAGCCCCCATCCAAGTTGAAAATAAAACGCAAAAAACGCAGCGATGCCAGGCCTATAAGGACTAGCAACGCTAGACCCAACCACGTGAGCTCACCTCTCGCGAAAGTACACAACCAGACCTCCCCTCTCATCAAGCACACTCTAATATGTATGTATAGCAACGTTAGGGGGCTAAGAGGGAAGGTAGCAAAAATGAGGACGCTGAGTGAACATCAGCACTCTGACATCATATTCATCACCGAATCCTGGCTCTCATCGGACATCTCCGACGAAGAGATGCGTGTTGCTGGCACGGAACTCTTCCACAGGGACAGGGAACATAGAGCAGGAGAGGGGGTGGCTATCTACGTAAGCTCTCGTTTAAAAGCAAGGAGGTTGGCAACACCACCCTAATCCAGCTCCCAGAGTCTCTATGGTGCTACTTCACTCTCTTCTTTATTCTCTCTTCATTCCTTTACCACTACCTTACTATCCTCTTTCAGGTACCTACACAGACAGGAGTCACGGCAGTTCTCTAAACGTCCCAGCAACCCATAGCTCCCTAATCACTCTACAAATTACAACCTACTAACCCACAAAACGTCCACCTCACCGAAGCTAAAAGCAAGAAGGCAGAGGAGATTTCCTCGTCCACTGCGGGAGTAAACCGAACAACTGGAACCAAGCCCTAAGAACTAGACGCGAGAGATCAAAAACTACCAGTTTTCTACGCTCGCACTATCAATATTGGATATTGGATATAACCGAACAAATAGAACAGAACCTCAAGACCTAGGAGTGATAGCTCAAAAACTGCAAGTACCCTCCACTCGCACTATTGTTGTTGAATGGTGTTGGATAACTTGAGTAGTGACGTGTTTCGCTCGTCTCTCAGCTTTTGGATTTTTCCACAATGAAAAACTCCCACTTGCAATACTCAATCTAAAAACATCGAACGTTTGCAGCACTTCTGTCCATCCACGCACCTCACCCCTGCGCATTCGTCAGCTCACTCCTCAACAGTTGAAAATTGGCATTATTATTCCTTTGAACCAACCGGTCTACCTCCTGTCAGTGGTTCTTGGGCGTTTCAGCTGCCAAACTGCCTTAGCTCTCGGTTCTCCTCGGAGGTCATTCCCCAGGAAATATCTTTCCTGGTTATACATACGCATCTGGAGCTTACGGTTAAACTCGTTGGTCAAGAGCAGAGGATCAAGTGACAAGTGTCTGAAGGTGAGCCAACATAAATTATCTTCCCTTTTCTATTCTGTCCTTTTGCTGCATTCAGTCTTCAACCCTCTTATTGTTGTTAACTACTTGTTTTCCCAAGAAGTTTATATCATAGCGACATGTCTGCCCAAAACGCTAGGTCTGAAGCTTTGACACGGATAACGCGGTCGTGCACAACAACGGCCAGTAACACCCTAAACAACACACTAGTCTGTACTAGAAGACAAACAGAGGTAGGGCAGAACACCGAACTTCTAAAGAAGTGGCCAACCCATGTTTCTAGAATTCCAGTCGCCATCAGACAGGTGACACAGAGAAGCACTAGCCCGTCACAAACTAGTCCTATCTTGAGCAAGGATCATACCATGCCTGAAATAGAAGACGACGTAAAAGGCTTCAGAACAAGGCAGCCACAAGCAGTTCGCCACAATCCGTAGCACCTTATTCATGGAAGGAAGGCTGTATTACGACACCCGATGGCTGCAGTGTTTGCACCAAAGTTGTTTCGGTAGTCGATGAGGCATTTGCATGCAACCTGTGTCAACGATGGGCGCATTGCCACTGCGATACCAAAGTCCCCCGACAATACTATAAGCTGATGAAGAGACAACCATGCAAGTGGTTCTGGTACATCTGTCCAGAGTGCAGGAAAATGCCCGCACTCCGCACAGAAAGCCTGAAGGAGATGCTCTCCGCCACGCAAAAGCTACCAGCATCCTCGAATAAAGTAGGGTTAACACCAAAGGATAACACAGAGAGACCTGGAAACAGACCTAGAGCTCCAGCTGTGGGCACGCCACCTCGCGTGGGGACCATATTAGGTCAAGTCTCCATACCCCCTACCCGGCCCCAGGGGACGTCAAGCGCATGGCCAAAGACATCGACCGCCGAAGCCTCTACGAAACCCATTCCGAACACCCCACACACCGTGACTGAGAAACAACCAGTGGAATTACTCAAACCCATTGGGAAGTCGGGCGTGCCACCCACAACGAACCCAGGTCACAGGAGGACCAACTCGATCATTTTGTTCAACGTCGATGTATCGACAGACTCATTGTTGGTCGAGAGGGAACAATTTGACAGCCGAATGTGGACCGACTACTGTCAGATGCTGGGACTCCCTCCCCTCCCTGCAACTTTATGTCGCCTTTCTCGAGGAAGCCATGCACCCCGAGATAAGCCACCCCCTTTACGTGTGTCCGCCAAAGAGGCTGAAGACACACTCCTCCTCTCGCGACAACCGGACGTTGTTAATGCCTGTAAAATTCGGGCCAGGCCTGACAAGCCATGGTCAGTAAGAGAGGAGGAGAGAAAGTCAGCGGTTGGAAATCCCAACAGAAACAACACTATAGTTGTACATGGGATTCCAGAATTGCCAAGTGACAGCTCGGTCAAAGATCGGTACTTTCACGACGTCCAACAATGGCAATGGCTCTCAACCAAAGTTGGTCTCAACAGTATACCGGCCAACAGCGTCAGTAGACTGCCAAGGCCAGCGCACCTGAAGACCATACCCAATCCCAGACTACTTGCCGTCCAGTTCGACTCATATGCCTCCCTCACAGACGTTCTGCACGCATGGTATAATGCGAAAGATCGCATGGGTGGCTCAATACGTATATGTGAAAGTAAGCCTAGACCCACAAGGCAAGAGGAGAGACGGCAACCACCAAGACCTCTGGAGTCAGTGGTCGTCACACAGGCGCTGACCAGTGAGTTAGATACATCAAGTAAAGAAGCCACCACTGCTACAGCCCCCACCCAAGTTAAGAAAAAAAAACACAAAAAAACGGAACAATGCCAGTCCTATGAGGACTGGCGAGGCTAAATCAACCACGTAAGCGCTCATCCCTCGAAAATACACATCCAGACCTCCCCTCTCATCAGGCACACTCTAATATGTATGTACAGCAACGTTAGGGGGCTAAGAGGGAAGGTAGCAAAAATGAGGACGCTGCGTGAACATCAGCACTCTGACATCATATTCATCACCGAATCCTGGCTCTCATCGGACATCTCCGACGAAGAGATGCGTGTTGCTGGCATGGAACTCTTCCGCAGGGACAGGGAACATAGAGCAGGAGAGGGGGTGGCTATCTACGTAAGCTCTCGTTTAAAAGCAAGGAAGGTTGGCAACACCACCCTAATCCAGCTCCCAGAGTCTCTATGGTGCTACTTCACTCTCTTCTTTATTCTCTCTTCATTCCTTTACCACTACCTTACTATCCTCTTTCAGGTACCTACACAGACAGGAGTCACGGCAGTTCTCTAAACGTCCCAGCAACCCATAGCTCCCTAATCACTCTACAAATTACAACCTACTAACCCACAAAACGTCCACCTCACCGAAGCTAAAAGCAAGAAGGCAGAGGAGATTTCCTCGTCCACTGCGGGAGTAAACCGAACAACTGGAACCAAGCCCTAAGAACTAGACGCGAGAGATCAAAAACTACCAGTTTTCTACGCTCGCACTATCAATATTGGATATTGGAACTAGAAAGTTGAAATTTTGGCTGTTGCGGTATCTCATTGCTTCCAACTTTAAACGTGCGAATATAGTGTGTTTCTGTCCACTTCGACTTCTGCCTCCGTTGACAACTGTCTGGCGTGGAAAATTATTGTTTGTCACTGGATTTTACAGGATCTCTCATCTTATTTCCAAATACCACGACAATCAGGCCAAATAACGTCGACTGTGCACTGCTGGCGATTATCGCCTCTTGAACTAACATTGAAGTATACTAAATTGTTGTGGACAGTACTAAAGAGATAACAATCAAGTAATCGATTATTATCCATAACTTTGATATCACTGTTTTGCATTATAACGCATAGCTCTTCATATTTGTGTATCCAATATCCAATATTGATAGTGCATGCGAGCGAAGAAAACTGATAGATTTTGATCTAGCGTCTAGTTCTGAGAGCTTGGCTCGAGTTGTTCGGTTCACTCTTGCAGTGGACGAGGGAATCCCCAATGCTTTCTTGCTTTCAGCTTTGTAGGGATGGGTTTTTGTGGCTTAGTAAGTTGCAACTTTTAGAGTAATTAGAGAGCTACGATGGGTTGCTGGGACGGTTAGGGGACTATGATGACTCCTGTCTGTGTAGGTACGTGAACGGGAATAGTAAGTTAGTGGTAAAGAATGAAAAAGAAATGAAGGAAGAGAAAAGAGAAAAAAGTTGCTAAGCGGGAGAAATGAAAGAGAGAAACGTATGTGGAAGTTTCCCGAAAAGTAAAAGTAGATAGCGTCGGTCTATTTTCTAGAGAAGAATTAGTAGGTAATGTGGGTGTATTGTGGAGTGAGATAGTGAGGGTTCGGTAGGAGGGGTAGGGTGGGGTGAGGGTTGGCTAGTGAGATTGGTGACTTTCTGAGTACGTGTGTGGTAGACCATGCGAAGTGACATAACTATTTAACCGTCTCTTGAATGAGTGACCTAAGGGGGCTATGACGATATGTATTGGTTAGGCATTCCATGAGGCACATACACTCAATGAGAAATACTTGAACGACGGTGTGGTATTGGCTCTCTGATGTGATATCCTAATGGGGTTTCCTCGTGAAGACCTCTGTATTGCAGGGAAGGTTGATTTGTTTGCTTGGTTTGCCTGATGGGCGATCTTGTAGACCATAATAAGGTCACTTCTCTTCCTGGTATAACCTAAGGTGAATAGGTTTGGATGTTTAAGTCTTTCAGGATATGCCTTCACCCGTAGCCCCACAACTGGCTTTGTTGCAGTTCTTTGTATGCTTTCCATGAGGTTAGAGTCTCTCTTGGTAGTTGGGTGGGCCATTGCATTTAAGACCTCTAGGTGCGGCCGCACGTAGAATTTGAAAACGGTGAGGAAGAGTTCGGGGGTGAGGGCACTGAGATGTCTACGCAGAAAGTGCACAATGGCGTTCGCTCTGATTGTCATGCGTTTGTAGTTGGAGCTGGTGTTCAAGCTGTCAGCTGGGTTGAGCTCCAGATCTTTCTCCGTTGACATTCTGGTGATAGCACGGTTCCTCAACGTGTACTGGAAGCCGGCCATACTTGCTTCATATTTACTGGTGTGCATTACCTTGCACTTTTCCAGGTTTAAGCTCAGGCCATTTTCCGAAGACCGGAGTTCTGATTGCTGCAGGTCCTTTTGTTGTACGGCACCGTCAGCTTCTTCGTTTACTACCCTCCAGACTTTAATGTCGTCTGCGAAGAGGAGGATAGATAAGGGTATTTTGTCTAGCAGATCATTGGCAAACAGGAGGAACAGAAGCGGTCAAAGGGTCGCTCTTTGGTCTACTCCTGTAGTCGATGTTCTCCACTCCGACTTTATTCTGTTTACTGCAGAAATGCTTCCCTCCCAGGTACTCCTTGAACCAAGAGACTAGAGGTTCAATTATACCGGCCAACATGATCTTGTGAAGTAGGACTGTGGGTGGAACACTGTCAAATGCTTTGGCTAGGTCAAGAAAAACAACGTGTGTCGGTTCTCTGTTGTCCCAGCTGAGTATTCAGTCGTCCCAGGCGGCTACCAGGCTTCCTAACACTTCGGACACTATAGGGAGTAGAGCAATTGGCCTGTAGCTGCCAGGGCTTTCTCTGTCTTCCCCCTTGAAGATGGGTGACAAAATGGCGCAATTCCATTCTTTAGGGAGTTTGCATGGCTCTGCTGAGTGCTTGAAGAGGCTGCAGATTGGTTTTGCAAGCACCTCAGCGCAGTTGTTTAGGATCATCAGTTTTAGGTTATCGCAGCCAGGGGACTTGCCTGGACGTAGCCCAGATAGTTTCTCCAACACCTTTTTCTCTGTGACTGAGGTGTGGCAGAGGTATTCATTATTTATGGTCTGGTCAGTGTCGTAACGAGTCGGAGTGGATTTGGTGACAGTACTGAGTTGGACTTGGAAGTGTGAGCTCAGAAGCTCGTCAATCTCTAGACTGCTTAGTACACTCCACTCCCATCATGACGTGTGATAAGATTCATTCCATTGCTGGTCGACTTCCTTCTCGATATGAAGCGGTACAGTTTTTTGAGATTGCTTTGTAACCTCCCGACCAGGTTTGCTTGATGGGTAAGTCTGTCGCTACGTAGTCTTATGTTACAGCAGTTGCGAGTCCTTTTGTAGTTCGAAAAGTCAGACTCCCTGCATGATGAACGCCACTTGAACCAAGCCTGCTTCTTGCTCCGAGTTAGCCTCTCTGTCCCACGCTTTAGCTATGAGGCTCTCACTGACAGTCCATGTGTGTTACCTCTGGTACATCGTGACTGATGGCTACAACGATTATTTCCTTCACCTGTATGCAGTGTTCATCTATTGTGAGATGAGTTCAGTCTACCGGCCATGATGCATTCATGAGATAGTCCCTCATGGTCTCGTAGTTGACCTTGCTGTAGCAAGGGTAGGCGTTGGGCGTCTCCGGTTGCAGGGCCCCCCCAGTAGTCATGGAGAAAGTTATTGTTGCGTGGTCACTGAGGCCAAGGAGAGGTTGGATGCACGCATTCTCAATGAGAAGTTCATCGTTCGCCAGAACGTAGTCAAGGCGCGACGCGTTTCCGTCAGGTCCCCAGCGTGCGGCACTACCCATTCTCTCTGAGAGGCCAGCAGTCTTAATTGCATTTTTCAGCTCCTGACTGAAAGACCCAGTGTGTCTTCCTTCCGTCTCGAAGAGGATGAACGGGGTGTTGAAGTCGCCGGCAATGAGTACGGAATTATAACCTGCAGAAGAAGTCGTCAAGGTTGCCTTGATGCCATTTCCTTAAGTGTAGGGGAGCTGGTGGGGGATCGATATACGACTCCGAGCAGGTATTTAGTACAGTGGAGAGTGAAATAACTCCATAAAGATTCTGGGAGCTGGATTAGGGTGGTGTTGCTAACCTCCCTTGCTTTTAAACGAGAGCTTACGTAGAGAGTCACTCCCCCTCCTGCTCTAAGCTCTCTGTCCCTGCGAAAGAGTTCCGTGCCAGTGACATGCATCTCTTCGTCGGAGATGTCCGGTGAGAGCCAGGATTCGGCGACACATATGATGTCAGAGTGCTGATGTTCACACCGCGTCATCATCTCTTCTACTTTCCCTCTTAGCCCCCTAACGTTGCTATACATACATATTAGAGTGTGCTTGATGAGAGGGGAGGGCTGGTTGTGTACTTTCGCGAGAGGTGAGCTCACGTGGTTGGGTCTAGCGTTGCTAGTCCTTATAGGCCTGGCATCGCTGCGTTTTTTGCGTTTTATTTTCAACTTGGATGGGGGCTGTGGCAGCGGGATCTTCTTTACTCGATGCATCTGACTCACTGGTCGGTGCTTGTGTGACAACCACTGATTCCAGAGGTCTTGGCTGCTGCCTCTTGTCTGGTGAGTCTAAGCTTACTTTGAATCTATTTTTGTTATTTATACTTAGCTTAACATTTTGGTTTACTTGACATTTCTTTGGGTCCACCGCACCTTGAGGAGGACACCCAGTCAACTGCTTCTTCTGGCCATGGATCTTGCATGGAGCAAGATGTAGTGCACATGGGGCCAAATGTTTGGCCACTGTTTGAGCCAGGTGTAGAGGAGCCGTGGCCAAATCCCACTTCTACCCCGTGATATATACTACTATACTCACGTCAGTGGCCTAACACTGCCTTATTAGGCCCGACGAAAATGTTGCCTGAGGTCACTCAGCGGCCTGAAGATACGCTAATATCCAGACAATCTGCGTAAACTTGTGTGGTTTGTAAAAAAAACACACCACATTTGTAGAGACATTTACCTAAAAGCCTTTGGAAGTCATTTTGGTCTAGAATGTAAACACATTTAACATCAAGACTAATATATACAAAGCAGTCTTATGACTTTGGGTAACCGCAAAACACAGGCAATGGAAGGTATTCAAAAGCCTTCGACGGAAATAACTGTCTCCACTAATAAGCGTTAACCAATAGTTGGGGCTGTTTATACAGCTTAAAAGTTGTTTTCTGGACTACTTAAATGGTTCACATGGTTATTGATTGTTTAGAAGCTGTCATTCAACTGGCTTCCGCTTCTGGAATCCATGGTTTCCTATTTCCTGTGATTTTTAACTTGTCTTGACTGGCGGTTAAAATTTGAAAATCCAGTTCTGAACAGATCTCGCCCTCATCTTAAGTAGCAAACCGGCGTTTAAGAGATTCATATGAAGTAACCTGGATCACTTCTGCAGGAAGGTTGTTCCAGGGCTTCAAGACTCTTACAGAATAGAAGTTATGTTTGATATCTGACGTGCTATCTTCTAGGCTTAGTTTCTGTACGTGTCCTCTCAGACTGGTTCTACAGCTAGGATTCAATAAGTGACGGAGTGGGTGTTCAGGAGTGCTCAGGATGTTTTGAGCCATTATCAAGTCTCCTCGTAGTCTTCTATATTCCAGAGGATGTAGATCCAGCTCAATCAGTCGTTATTCATTCGTTTTAGACCTGTCTTTGAACATATTTGGTCTGGAGCCTCTATATGCATTCCAAGCTTAATTTATCCTTCTGTAGAGAAAGGAAGAGGAAGATAGTCCCACACTTCAAGTGAGGCCGTATGAAGCTGTTGAAAATTTGCTGAAAACATACACTATCAAATTGTCCGAAAATTTTTTATAAGAATTACTAACTTCAAGTTTCCACGAAATGCATTCCTGTTACGGCTGGCATAGAATTCCAAGTCTTGTGGAACTAAAACGTTCAATTCCATCTCTGTCTCCGACACTTCAAGTTCCATGCCGCTGAGACTATATACGTGATATGCATCATGTTTTACGTGTACAACGTTGTATTTTTCAATGTTTAGCGAGACGCCATTTTTGACTGCCCAGTTTTGAAGTCTGGTCAGGTCTTCCTGTAGAGGAACATTATCTTTCTCACTTTTTTGATTTTTTCCCCATAGTTTCACGTCATCGACAAAAAGAAGGATTTTAGAAGAAACCTGTTGAGGTAAGTCGTTTATCAATATTAGAAAAAGAAGAGGTCATAATACTGAATCTTGGCTAACTACATCTGCACATTCTGTTCCTTTAGACATACAAAAACTCACTTAAACTCGAAGTAAACAACCTCGTAGATACGAGGTTAACCAGTCAATGAGCGATGGTTTTATCCCGATTAATTCTAATTTATCATAAAGCAGTCATGATTAACATGATCAAATGCCTCACCAAAGTCTAGATAAATAACATCAGTTTGACCCCAACGGTCGACATTAGTCCATCTATCTACTGCAGTAAACAGGTTAGTAATACGGCAGTACTCTTCTAAATCCATGTTGTTGGGGCGTAAAGAAGTTAGTCGTCATAAGGTGATTCTTGAGTCCATCATAAATTAACGACTTTGTTACTTTGGAAGATATTCATCAGGGCGTCACTGGTATGTATTGCTTCGAGTTGCTTCGTTAACCTCCATTGAAGATGAGCGTTATGTGGCTCAGCTTCCAAGGATTGGGCCACATTCCCTTGAGTTAGAGAGTCCTTAAATAACTCACATAGGTCCAGGCAAAATTGATGCTCTTTCCTAAAGTACCGCCGCATGGATTTTATCTGGTCCCGGAGAGGTATCTTTTGTGAGCAGTAACAGTCTATTCTGTACTAGATCAACGCCTAAGTCAACGGCCGAATGTTCTACTTCTTTAGTGGGATATTCGAAAATTTTTGTAAGTGCTGATCAGTTAGGAATTCAGCTGCTTCATTGTCGCTACTGGTCAATCCTTTGGGCTCCAGTAGTTCAGCGACTCCTTCGTTAGCAGCATAGTAGAACAGACTGCTCGAGTTAGAAACAAGTTTTTAAGCCTAACTTGATGGCGTTGCCGACCATCTGTCACTGTCCTCATGAGTGTGTATCTTGTCTGTGTGAATAGTCTGTATTTTTATTTGGTACCATTCCTTATGTGTTCGGCCCAGTAGCGTCTTTTTAACCTAAATAGTTTGCGAGTGAAGTTGCTTATTACCTTGGGCGACTTGGAGTACTTGGGCGTTGAAAGTGAAACAGAATGACTGATGGTTTGCCATGATTTTGTCAAGTATGAATCTCCAATAGGTGTTCGCATACTGCTTCACACTATCAACTTCCCAATCTGTTTGTTCCGGCGCCATCCATCACAATGTTCAGTCGTCTAAAGTTCCAATGACCCTCATTGAGAGGTCTGGTTAGATTGGTTTTGGAGACATACCGGAAACCGATAGCAGCACAGCCACTCCTGCACAAAGGAGCAAGGATTGCTAGATTGTCACTCAAGAATTCTTCATTTAAGATGGGATTTGAGTTTTCTTCCATCGCTTTACTGATCTCAAATTTTCCGTAAGCCCCAGTTCCTCAATCAAGTTGAAGAATCTGACTTCAGTGGGATTGTTACTCCCGCTAAACATATGATTCGCAAAGTTAACCTTCGGTTGATTAAAGTCTCCTAGAATTAGTATGTGTTGTCGAGTTTAAAAGAACAACTGATTGCCTCTAGCATTTGATCGTCATACTGTAATTCAGATGATGGTTTTCTATAAATGACAGCGTTATTGAGCATCAGATGGAGTCCTCAAGACATTCAAATCCTTGAGTGTGTTTGATGAGTTATGTGAAAAGATCTAACGTGAAGTGCTACCCTAATCCCCTTACCAACCTTTCAGTCGTTGGGAAACAGCTTGACGGCAACTGCCAGCTCCCGACCTGACATTTTAAAAGAAATCTCTATTTCACTAACACCTATAGGGTGAGCATATGTCCCTACTTAGTTTCTCGCAGTTCATCGAGTCCATTTGGTAAACGTTTTACATTTGTATAGATCCAATATATGCTATCTAGTTTGAACGCACTTCCTGAGCCCCTTCCATCTTCCAGTAAGCTGGCTAAATACTCAGATGTGGTGGTTGAGAACCTGCTTAAGCGCAGCTTACCAGTGTAGTGTTCCCCGTCCCTCTCCTATTTTCTGCATCCAAGCAGACCTCCAAAGGTACCACTAGATGCAATCTTTCCAGTTTTCATTGCAGCCTCTCGTTCTTCGACCTATCAGGCTGTATGCGAACTCCAGGTGTCAAGCGATTTATTTGCTGAGAATACTCGAAACCATTTCTTCAATGGCTGTTTTCATCAGTGCTATGGAAAATTTACGAATGCATTATAACTTCATCGTTCTAATAAATCCCTTAGTTTCTACTTCATGATCTTGATTTCAATCTTTGACGGATGGGTTAAAGATATTCTTTTGAACCTATTCAGTAGTTGGAAGAATATTTTATTGCCAAAACAGAACAGTTTTCGTCAATGCTTCGATAGTGTTCTTAGCAGTCGATTTTCTCTGAAATGAGGTACATTATCTGTGGTTTTGCTATGTATCTCTTGCATACTTTCTTAGTTATCCAGTGTAGAAAACATATCTTATAGTGATTTTCTGAAGTATTTGTTTGACACATTACTGATCTGTTATTAAATCTAAAATCAAACTGGGTGTCATCTACACGGTTTGTGAAAATCTTATGAAATGCGAACATCTAAAACGTCTAAACTTAGCCGTTCCCTACAACTCTTACTTTCTTAATGCTGGATTATGAAGTATTAAAAATGGAATTGGTTATTCACAATAATTTCAACTAGAACTCTTAGAATCGTTTGTGAAAAACAAGAATTGGAGTTGTCATTTTTGTATTCTAAACACGCCGACAATTCACTCTATCTAATTGGTTCATTCATTTCCAGTTATGCAGTCATAAGTAAACGTATTCACAGAAGGTCCGTGTCGCACCAAGCGCTAGAGCCTAATCTTCAGTACTTCATTGAATCCCCGTCAACAGTCGTCTATGTACTGTTAAGCTAGAATGTTCATTTTAAATAAGAAGAAAGTGGCAAGAGAAATGATGCTTCTTTTTCATCTCTACCTATGCTCTGGTGAACTGCAGCTCATGTGCAACCAAGGATGGATTCTATCATCAACTGAGCCACCTTAACTAAATGCGCTCGACAGATATCGTAATCGTAGCTGGGGACTTGAATGCGTAAGTCGGGCGTCTAGACTCGGAGAAGAGTCGTTTAGATGACCAACGGGGACTAGTCAGCCTCAGTTCGGATAATGGGATGGTCTTCTGAAGTTTTGTTCGGATTACAACCTATTTCTAGCCAGTACCAACTTCTAGGATAGCCATCAGCATTGTGCCATTCGGAGTCTCCCTTTTGTCAATCAATAGATTATATTGCACTCAGCTACCGATGCCGTGGGTGAATACAAGACTCCCACTCCATATGGGGTAGTTGTCTGTACTCTGATCATGCTTTAGTGTGTGTTAAGCTCATCTTGCATGTTGGTGGTCGTCAAAACCGTTTTCCAAAACAGGTCGATGCAAGCGAATTAGTTGCACCTATTATGGTAGCTAAATACCAATCTTATATTCAAGGCTTGCTTCCGACCCTCCAGAAATTGTAGACCAGTGTTAGCTGCACTTGCGAGACGCCATAAAAAATGGCAGAAAAAGCCGCTTGTGGTTTGAAAAAACGACCTGCTAATAAACAACGGGTCTCTGCCCGTTCTTGATGCCCAGCGGTGGTTTGCATAGGCTTCTCACGTGAAAGGTTATGCGATGTCTACGCAAGGACCCTGAGGCTTAGTGGTCAAAATGCGTGGGTGAGATGGAAGCAGTAGCTGCATCTGGCAATAAACAATTTTCCCGAATCCAAATCCCGGCGGGAACAACACTCACTGGGAAGCAGGTAGGTCCAGCTGACGAGTCCCAAATAGGACGAAATGCGTTTCCTGGATTCCACTGCTAGCCACTATCCATCTCTACGATCTTCAAAAATGCCTGGAACACTGGGCTGAGCATTTCAGAAAGCAGTTTAGCTGGCCTACCGCTCCAGCATTTTCAATTCCAGTGTGCCGTGCTCCATGATCAGTTAACACTAACCCACCTAACGAAGCGGAGTTCCATAAGGAATTCCAAGTTCTGAAATAGCACAAAGCACTCGGCCTAGACAATTTTCCCACGGCTCCTTTCAAGGATGGATGAATGGCTCTAGTCAGGGAACTGACCAAAACATTTGGTTATTATTATACTTAATGAAATTAACCCAAATCACTCACTAGTAAAGTCACTGACCGCAACACTGGGTGACGAGGATGTGAATCTGGCAGGGGAAATGAGTTCCATTTAGGTTGCAGATATGCCTTTCTGACTACGCTTAACAAACATGAAACCTAGGTCAAGTATGACTTCCTACTGTAGTGGGCGCTGCTTGTCAGAATGAATAAAAGTAGTTCAGAGGGTGGTAGAAATCATATACAATTACCAGCGATGGGTAAATATTCTGCCCAAAGGAAAGCAAGGGACAATATGAGCGTATTTAGAGCAAGTCGAGATAGAAGCGGAACAGGAAATGAAGCACATTATGCAAATGACTGTTTTAGTGGAAAGTGTACAATATTTCATGACTACTGTACAAGATATCAATAATAGACATTCCTTCCTGTATCTCAATCTTGTCATTTTTTACAGTTTCAATTATCCGGTTATTATAAATCACTCGAATAACCATTTTTATCACTTTCGTAGGGAATGTTACAAAAACTATGCATTTTTACACTGTTGTTTGTCATCTTGCTGGGTGAAGACGCTGATAAAATGCAAGGTCTTCTAGATGCGTTGTGCAGAAATCTGAGTATGTTTGGTATTCATCTCACAGCTGTCAAATGTAAGGTGATGCTGTAGGACTCATCTGCAAGTTTAAGGATAGAGAGTGAAGTGGTGGAATGTGTCGACCACTTCACTTAATTTGGAAGTTGCATCAGCCCGAACAAGCTGGTTGCTGATGAAAACTTAGCTCAGATATAGAAGGCTCTTTTGATATTTACTAACTTGCGTCATCTGTGGCGCTAACTGACGAGATATCCGACTATCTATTAAAAGATGAGTATGGTGCACTGCTGTCCGTAATGTCTTGTTAAAATCAGGAGATACGAAGCAATTACAGGGTTTTGATCACAGATATCTTCGTAGCATTGCTCACGTTTGATGAAATCACCGTGTGAGAATTCGCATTAGGTATAAGGTCACGAAGCCTAGTGGCATAGTCACTATAGAAAACTACTTCAAGGCTGAAGAGCATCTCCTGGTGATGAATATACGATCAATTTCCATCTTCTTGTAAAACTTGAATATCTTGTTATCCCATCCTTTTGAAGATGTAGCACAGTAATTTAGACACTTAATTTTCAAGTGATGGGACCTGGGTAACTGGATAGTATCATGAGTCCTCAAAAATTACATAATTCAAAGTTTATTGTTCAGATATGTACCTGGTTCGTGTATTGCACCAACCATATATATATTGTTACTATTCCACTACTACCTTTGTTTCCTTAATGTTCCTCAATTCTTGGTTACTTTTCTTATTGTCATGAAATGTGCCAACATTTGCTGATGCAGTTTTGTACAATTTCATTTGTTTGGACTTGGTATGTAGAAGAAAGTATCGAAACTCCAAAGTAGAAACTAACCAGGTAGTCAATATCAATGTGGGACTGACAAATACTTAGTATCGTTCCAGTTTGCAGCAACTCACATCAAAAAGTTATGATGCAATATAGTAGAATCAAAGATGAGGAAATGGAAAATTAATTTTACCAAAAGTCGTAGGAATCTACAAAAAGGCGTGGAATAGAAGGTAATAATGTGCGATGTGATAATTATATTGGAGATAATGTGTGGATGTATCTGTGCAACTGGAAATGATTCTACGTCTTACCACCTAGAGTGTGTATCCAACTTCGGTTGTCATGTGGGCCGCAGCAAGGAGTCTCTGCACTTCCCTATATAACTCAAATCAACGGGTTGATGACAAATTATAGTTTAATCGTGTTTCACCTCTTTTTAAAATAAAATTACTTTGGTTAAGATTACATGACACGGTGTACGGTGACGAGGGATTTTTGACAAGTCTCCCAATCATCTGAGTTGGTGAAAGTTTACAACAACCTCTTCAACTAAGTAACTAACTAACCTCTTTTGCTTAAAACGTCTCGACTCATTTTTACGGTATTGATGTGTTGGATCCAAAACATGGCGCATGTTACAAAAGCGATGGTGATCAAACACCTGGACGTTTTCATCTTTTCCATCTTTAATAGTCATGTTTCATGGTCAAAGACTGAACTGGTGTTCAGTACACTCAACACTTATTAGGCAGTCGGATCTGTCACCGCTTCTATAAATGGTGTATTTCGAGAGAGTCATTCATGACTGTTGAATCTGTACAGAGATTTTGTCGATCACTGACTCATAAAGACTTGATCAGACTTTTCAGGAAAATTAAGTAATTAACTAGTCCGCTCACTTCATTGTGGCAGGTCACTTATTGAGTTACCTAAAAAGGAAATCGGGTTTGTTTCGGATGAAAACAGAGCTCAAAAGAAATCTGCCTGAGTTGTGTTTTGAAGTTTGAGTTTTATTTTACTGTATTTTGTCTAACCGTAAAGGTCTTATCACTGGCATCGTAGAGCAGAGTGGGATATGGTAGTTTTTGGTTGATCCTTGCTAATCTCCTCTATGAATAGAGAAGGCAGCATCAGTGTAGATTGCTAGGAAATACCTATTATCCCACTCCGTTAAACCAACAGTATGATTTGGCGTAAAGTATATAAAATATAATGATAACTGCTTCTAATCTTGCCACTATCCAGTAGAGCTTTTTACTTGATAAAATGTCAAAACTAATCATTCCAACCAGCAAAGCTCATTGCATCATCGCAGTTGCTGAGGTGGCAACTATCGTTTAGGCGTAGTAATTAAATGTATCTGGTTCTTGGAGAAGATACCTAAAAGTGACCGCTGGAAAGTTGACTGACATGTTAATGTTGACTCCTAAGCTTATCTAGGAACATAATAAATCAGATGATAAGGTCGATTTTCATTGTCTTATGTATTGTGAATATTATCCAGTACCATTGTATTCTTAATTCACTTTGTCTTCTGTTTACTCACCTACCATTTAACTTTTTTTTAATTACTTGTTGAACTATTCCCTCAGTTACTATTCCCCTTTGAAGCTTGATCACCTGATCTGATGTCGTATTGCATAAAACTCTATTAGAGTCTCAGATAAATAATGTTTGTTTACGACGTTTTTAATTTAAAAAAAATTGTTTCATTATTACGTTCTGATAATCTTCTTCAGCTTTTTTATTGTACTTTATATTGAAAATTTTTTTTCTCTCTCTATCAAGTTTTAGAGGAAGGCAACAGTAGAAAAGAAAAGTACTTGCCTATGGTTCTCCTATTAGGAATTATTGTTTGCAGTGTTGGGTTCATTAATCAAGGTAAGTTTTCATGTTATTATTTTTTAAGATATCGAGTTTTAGACTCACCTTATATTCATGTATAATTAGTCTTTTTAGTACACAATACATTTTTAGGTAATAACACTGTCATATTGTTTTAACATGAGGTTAATTAGTGAAGGATACTGTTACCTGCCTAACACTTAACCAGCCTTACATAACTTAATATGCACCAGTAACCAACTAATCAATAACTTATCTATGTGTAACTACTGATAACAAAAAAACAGATTGTTAAACACGTTATGTAATAAAAAGTAGTCAAATCAGCAAGTTATTTACTAGTCAGAGACAAAGAGGTTATATTAGTAAAAGAATGTTAACTTGTCTATCTATTAAAATGGCTAAGCTAGGGACCCTGAGCAACTTGTTACTGACCGGAACAAAGAAGACACGAAAATGGTATTGAAGCCTATTCGAATGTATACTCGTTAAAACAAACTTTAAACATTGAATATTGAGGGAGTTGTGGGGATTTGGAAATATTTCAAGTTGTTATTCATCGTAGACTGACATCAGTTGGAGGAACAAAGGAAACTTGGGAGCAGTGGACAGCCGTTTCGTCCTAGTATTCGACTCCTCAGCAGTACGCACCCACGACCCCGCCAAGGATCGAACCCGAGACCTTCAGGTTCCGTGACCACCACGTTACCATTGGGCCACCTGAAGGTCGCGGGTCCGATCCTTGGCGGGGTCGTGGGTGCGCACTGCTGAGGAGTCCCATACTGGTCAGACGAGACAGCTATCCAATGCTCCCAGGTTTCCTTTGTTCCTCCAACTGCTGTCAGTCTACGATGAATAATAACTTGAAAACTTTAAACACTTAAAGCAGCTAGAGATGAGCTAGAAGTTTATTTATTTAATATTTATTGAATTCAATTTAATCTATTTATTCGGACCCTAGTTTCATTTTGGTGCCAGTTAGAGATGTATTACATTATCTGTTGGCAAGTAACCAATTACTTTTTAGAGATTTCATGTCCACCTTCACTATTTTTGTAGATTTATAGATTTTACTTATATGCCTACCACTAAGAGTAATAGTAGAGATGAGGTTAATGACATCATTCACTCCTTTGAAGATGTACCTTACTGGTTAAATTCATCTGTATGAATATCACCTTACTAATCACATACTTTTAAGCTAGTTATAGTTTCGAAGGCTAATGGTTATATACATATATTCCGAAACGAATATAATACGCACGCTTAGCTGACAGCTAACTTAGTACGCAAAAGCGACTGACTGCAACCGCGGGACGAATAGAGAGAAGACCAAAGCTGGGAGATGAGAGAGTATTACTCCGAGAACATAATATAATGAATCAATCCAATACACGTGAATAAGTATACACATGAAAAATGACCTTGTCCTCAACTTGAGGCATTCGCATAGTAAGAGTAAAGATTAACCAATTAGCGATTTACATAACAATCGGCGCAGAAAATAGACTATTCGTCATATCTCAAGTTGTTATTCATCGAAGACTGACATCAGTTGGAGGAACAAAGGAAACCTGGGAGGAAACCTGAGGAGTCCCATACTAGGACGAAACAGCTGTCCAGTGCTCCCAGGTTTCCTTTGTTCCTCCAACTGATGTCAGTCTTCGATGAATAACAACTTGAAACATTTCCAAATCTCCACAACCCCCTCAAAATTTATTAGTCATATCGTAAAAATGGTGTGCATCAATGTTCGGATCAATAACAATGTTTATACAAAACTGGGGCATCGCAACATTTTCAACACATAGTAATGGATGAACTCAGTTTGATAACTATAGAAAGTGGTTAAATCAACATGTTAAGCCACTAACCGAGGGGTCAGGAATGTTTGAGCTTCAAATTATGATGTATGCTGTCATACTATCAGGATAAATAGTACTGGAGGATTTTGTACTGCAGGGAGCCTAGGTCATTCTTATAGTTGTGGAAACTATATATATATATATATATATATAACTGAATTTGTAAGTTAAAGAATATTAGTAGATTGTTTATTAAGCAACTACAGGCGGCACAGATGAGGATGTCAAAACCAGGATCGGAAAAGCAAGACGCGTTCATTAACCTGAAACCATTGTGGATATCTACTGCACTCAGCATAAAGCATGAACAAGATCCTGATTTTCAACACTTAGTCAATCAAGTTAGTGCTTCTATGCGGTGGTTCAAAGACTTGCCACGTCCTGGAAAGCACTTCCAACAAACTACAGACATTCATCAACAACTGCCGGCTACGCTGGCTTGCTACTGAAGCTCAGATGGCTAGAATAATAAGAATAAGCAAGGAGGAACTTTGGCTAGCTGGCAAACATCCAACCAAGAACCTATCGCCCAACAAATATTTAGAAGAAGGAAATGGAGATGGATTGAAGTGGACATACACACTGAGAAGACCGATTGGGGATGTGATGTGCCAGACCAGGTCAGGCCATCGAGTGGAAGTCGGATGGGAAACGACGAGTTGGGCATCCGAGGCGAGATTGACATGGTGTGAGGAAGAAATGAGAGCTTGTAGGAAGTCGTGGATCAAGGTTCAAAAGATTGTAGAGAAGAGAATGGAACGGAGATGTATTACTGAATCCCTATGTTCTACTAGGAATCCAAAGGAAAAATAATCAATCATAAAAAATAATTTTTGGGATAGTTTGATAGAAGTTAATGAGGTCATTGGAATAAATTTAGCTAGAAGTAAAAAAAAAGTTTTTATCAATATGTCGAAATTTGTCTTCAGATTATGAAGTTCGTCGTCTAATGATATCTATCAGTACTTAGGTGAAATAGTGAATACTCTAGAAGAATTGCCAACTGAATTGTAAGCACATAAGTGTTGAAATGAACACAGTTTAACCCTAATGATATTTGATTTTTGTTTCAAAATATCCTGGCAAACAAACATCAACAACATATATGACAAAATTTGTTAGTCAATATCCAAGCATATATCTAATACAAATAAACAAAATCATTTTTAATAAAAGTGAAATATTAGTATCGAAACTGAAAACCATTGAACAACCTTGTACATTATTTATGCAGTAGGCAATTAGTCATATCTAAGTGCTAATGATATAACCTGACTGGTGGTAGGCAGATAAAATATTTGTAGACAAGAGTTTTGAATAAAGTTACATAGAATAGACAACATACAGTATTGAACATAAAATTGTAGATCGTTGATCAAATGATCATAAATTGAATCCTTTCCCATTGACCAATGATTTCACTTGCTAGCTAGTATCAATAAACATCAGAAAATCGATATGGTTCATGTACACAAGTTTGGATTCACTTTTTGATTTGTATCACTTCACATTATATCATTGAACCCTGACTAGAAGGTGAATATTTAGTGCTCCTTCCACGACGCGTTAGCCTACTGAATACACGACATAGAGACCGAAAACACGACTACTGCTATAGAATCAGGAATTCTAACGTTTAGCATTGTGACAACAGGGCTTGCTTTTATTGTTAGTATGAGTTATGAATGAATTGTTATTCTTTTTTAGATGGCGAACTTGAAACATCGTGAGCACCAAGAAGGGCAGCCCACGAAATAACATGCAAGCATCATGAAACGCAAAAAGACAGAGGAATACACTTCGGTCGAAGATGAATCTTCACTATAATTCTGTACACCGTGGCGTCGTAACATAGAGAACTACACTGCAAAATGACTGATAGAATTTGGTCAGCATTTAGAATACGACAACATTAAATTGGTTGGCGTCCAATGACCAATCATGGCGGATTATTATCATTATTTGTACCTTGGGTTCCTAGTGGAACATAGGGCTTCAGTAGCATGCCACTATTCCACTCTCTTCTCTCCAGTCTTCTCAACCTGGCTCCACAACAGCCTGCCACAAAACTTTCATTACCTCCTCACACCATCTCCTCCATGTCAATCTCGCCTCGGACGCCCAACTCGTCACATCCCATCCGACTTCCACTCGATGGCCTGACCTGACCTGGTCTGGCACATCACATCCCCAATCGGTTTTCTCAGTGTGTATGTCCACTTCAATCCATCTCCACTTTCTTCTTCTTCATATTTGTTGGGCCATGGATTCTTGGTTGGTTGGTTGCCAGCTAGCCAGAGTTCCTCCTTCCTCATTCTCTTTATTCTGGCCATCTGATCTGATCTGATCTGATCTGATCTGATCTGATCTGATCTGATCTGATCTTGACTATCGAGTGAGCGTAGGTGGCAGCTGTTGTTCATGTATGTCTGCAGTTTGTTGGAAATGCTTTTCGTAAACACGCCAAGTTTCTGAAGCACCACATAAAAGCATTGACTTGACTGACTAAGTGTTGAAAATCCGGATTTTGTTCAGGCTTTATGCTGAGTGGAGTGCAGTGAAGTGCATTGGAGTGCAGTGCAGTGCAGTGCAGTGCAGTGCAGTGCAGTAGATCTCCACAATGGTTTCAGGTTAATGAAGGGTTGTCTAGATGTCTTTCCGATCCTGACTGTCTTTGACGTTCTCATCTGTGCGTGTGCCACGTGTAGTTGAAACGATGCTGCCTAGGTAGGTGAAAGAAATTACTTCCTTTAGATTTCTCCTGTTGATGGTGATTGATGCTTGTTGTGGATGCTGTTGTTAGTTGAGTATCTTCATCACCTCTGTCTTCTCTACATTCATTTGAAGTCCCGTCTTCGCTACCTCGCCTCTTCTGCCAACTTGTTGGTTTTTGCTTGTATATTGTCGACTTTGTGTGACATTCGAGACAAATCATGATCGGTGAAATGCAAATCTTCTAGGATCTTTTCATCGGTCAAATAGCATATGCTTATCTTCTCGCTCCTCACAGTTTCTTGCATGATCCAGTTTGATGCAGTGGACCACAGTCAGGAGGATCATCGGTGACAGTAGGTGGCAATCTTTTCTTACTCCTGTCTTCACTTCAAAGAAATCATTGAGCTTTCCATTGTGAATCACTTGGCATGTAGCATCATATAGCATATAGCTGTT